TAATAAAATATATATCTTCTATTATATCACAAAAAGAAAGTAGCACACAAAAATATTAAACAAGTAATATGATAATAATTTTTATTAACAATGTAATTATATTAAATATTGGATAATATAATAAAGAAAAATACATAACAAAAAAGTTATTCGATGACTATATATGTCCGTTTAATTTAATAGCTTAAAAGAAAGCAAGCAAAGAAAAATATTATACAAAATAATATGCTAATAAAAAATTCTATTAACAATGTAAAAATACCAAACATTGGATAAATATAATAAACAAAAATACAGAACAAAAGGTTATTCAATGACTATATAAGTCCTTTAATTTAATAGAGATTTTATTATTGGATATATCATATTGACAAATAAGATGACAATTAAAATTTATTAAAGCAATACGATCTAATATGTTCAAATAAGTCCGGTGTTAATTTAATTTAATTAATATTTTTAATAATGACCACGCATCGCGCGCGTACTACTACTAGTTATTATTAAAAGGAAGGAAGTCTAGCATAGGATTATGACAAGTGGCAGCATAGGAGAAAGACATACAGTAGTTTTAGGACAAAATTAGTTAGGTTAGTTAATAATTAGTTACTCCTTTTGAATTTGAATTAAAAATAATTAAATATCTACATATTTTAAAAAAAGATATTACAAAGAGGATGAAAAATATAAAATAAATAATTTCAGTGTAGAGATATATAAAAGGATAAGACTAATTTATTTTTTGAGATGAGAAAGTTTTGGAATAATAATCATATTGTCATGCTATATGGATACGATCACATAATTAAAAATATTACAATAGATAAAATATAAAATAAAATAAATAAAATATATATTATTAAAAGGAAGAAAGTCTAGCCTAGGATTATGACACGTGGCGGCGTAGGAGAAATACATATAGTAGTTTTAGGACAAAATTAGTTAGGTTGGTTAATAAATAGTTACTCCTTTTGAATTTGAATTAAAAATAATTAAATATCTATATATTTTTAAAAAAACTATTACAAAGAGGATGAAAGATATAAAATAAATAATTTCAGTGTAGAGATATATAAAAGTATAAGACTAATTTATTTTTTGAGATAATAAAGTTTTGGAATAATAATCATATCGTCATGCTATATGGATAAGATCACGTACTTAAAAATATTACAATAGATAAAATTAAAGACAAAATCTTAAATAATAATTCCAAAAAATTTAAAAAATATAAAAATATAATTTAAATTCTTATGTAGTAAGTCTAATAGAAAATTAAACTTTCATATTAAATATAAATGGGAAGGATAATTTAATTTAATTGCTTATTGAAAATAATATAAAATAATTATTATTATAATTATTAATAAATTTATGACATATAATAAAGAAATTTCCTGTTTAATCTTTGAATTAATTCAACACCATCCATTAATAAAAATAATACAATAATATATGTATTATACATAAATACTAAATTAAAAAAATAAATATTATAGAATAAAAACTAATGTATAAAGAGGAAAATAGGTATAATATAATTCTATCCACACTTTAAATTTATTTCATAAAATTAAGCAAATAAATAATACTCAAAATATTATTGATAATACTTTGAGAGACCTTCCCTTATGGTTTAGGATATTACGCTAACCTTCTTTTTTAAAAAAAATCTTTTTGTGTAACAATTCTTTTAAACTATTTATCATTAATATAAAAATATATAATATGACCACTTTGCCCTTTTCTAATACATTATGTGGTTTACTTAATTTCATAATTTTTTTAAAAAGAAAATTAATCATTCTAATACTTAGAATGAGCCCTTCTGAACAAAAGCTTGACGGTTTACCCTCCCAGTGTGTTGTGACAGAGCTGAAATTTACAGTAGATTGAATTTACAACTTGTTTGGATGGATGTTACCCATTGTATTGTATCGTATTGTTATTTTGAATACAAATGTTTGTTTTGATTGTTACTTAAATTTTATTGTATCGTATCGTATCCGTCATTACGTAACGACAAAAAGTGTCACTTTATAGAACGACGGATTTTGTGTGGTTGCGTCCTTACCTTGCTTTTTTCTATCATCTTGCCCTTCCTTATTATTAAATAATCATATTTTATCATTTATCCTCTTTTATATAGTTATTTTACTCCATATTCTATTTTTTTCTTAGTAATATTGCAAGTATATTCTTCATATGTTGGTGCATGATATCATGAAACGACGACAAACGATACAATGAGGGGCGTACGCAAGAATTTTTATAAGTGGTGTCGAAATTTATAGAAGAACGGGAATTATAACTTTAATTATCACACTTCTAGACAAGAAAATTTTAATGTATCGGTTTTGTTGAGTCTTAAGTTAGAAAAAGTCATGAATTAACTTCTACTTCATCACAATTTTTAACTACATAGATTTTCTCAAATATTTGCAAAAATATGTGGTAGTTGAGGTTTGAACCTCTGGCCTCTTAGAGCAAAATCAAACACATAACCAACGCACTAAGAACTAATTTATGTCAAATGGTGTCATTTTTTTCTACTTCTTTGCTTCCTCACAGTATTAACACATATATTTAGTAAAAAATTTCGACGAAGCAATGTCACGTGACATCGCTTTGATACATGTGCATCCTCCCCTGGATACAATCTATTCAAATATTATATTCATACAATCTATATTATATATATAAGAGGGCAGTAAGAAAGTGGGGTGACACCTCTCTTAAGCCAAGAAACATATTTATCTTTTTTCTCCTTTTTTTGAGTTTTTCATCATTTTTTTTTCCATTTATCTTATATTAAAAATTTTATTTTCATAACTCACACCTCTTTATTTTCTTAACCTATACTTTTAATAATCATAATAACTCTCATGCCTTTCATATCCATAACCCCCAAATGTTTAATGTAACAATTTATTGTAGTATTCCTCCATATGTACCTATACAAGGACTTCTATACAAGGACAAATATCATGCTTTGAACAAAGATATTGAGGTTCATCCGTGCTTCTTCTTTTGAAGTCTTTATTCTATTACAATGTAAGAGGAATTAGTGGATTATTTTTTTGGTTATGCTTTCCTTAATGGTTCTACTTTCATGTGCTTGGGTTGTACAGTTGTAGAGCAAAGGTGGAAAAATGAAGTTTCTCGGACATTTCGCTACTAATGCAGGTCTGCTCCTTATACGTTTCGCAGATGGCTTGGAACACTTGCAGATGTATTAATTTATATATATATTGCGTCTTTACTTATAATTTTTCCGTTACATCATAATGATAATAATGTGATTTTTCCGTTACTAAAATTCTTTGAATGAATCAAACTTACTTTGTCACCACACTCATGCCTATAAAAGCTTTCACCTTAACATTGCTGATTATCACAGCTTGGTTAGGGATATAGTTGAGAACTTGAAGGACATTTTCTGGACTATGAATCATCCAAAGGTAACAGTTTACTTCGTTCTATATAATAGGCTGAGTATTAGATATGTTTTATTTGAGGAACTCTTATATGTTTTCTGCGGATCATAGAGGCTGGTATTGGATAATTTGAAGAAAATTATAGAGGATTCAAGTCAAAGAGAAAAGATTTGATTGATTTACACAAGAAGGTTAAGAGTGAGGAGCACAAAGACAGTTCAAATTATCTCTTTCCTTTTTAATTCTTTGATTTCTAGGTTGCCACCTAATTAACATTCTTTCTACGTACTCTTTTGCTCCATAATTTACTTTAAGCCCAAGTTAGGCTCGCACAACCACATAATTATTCTAGATGAGATTATAGTTGCAAGTAGAGTTTAGTTGATGACGACNGGAGGGAGGGAGGGAACATATATGTCTATTTATCTAATCATGTGACTATCGACATAGTATTTAGCCATCTGTTTATTGCATCAAAATTTTATAATTATTTCATTTTAGTAATAGTATTTGTTGACTCTCGGGCAAAGTCATTCCATCTCATAAAGTTTGGTCTTTCTTCGCTAAAAACTGATTTACTTTTGACAATTTTATTTTGTAATATATAGTTTTGAAATAAGTGCACTGAAATTTCATATTGGCCAAGATTGTTTTACTATTTGGGCTTAGTATGCTCAGAAATATTAAACGAACATGATCATTTGATTCCCAATATAAAAATTTATAACTTACAACTTTTATTTCGAGTAATTAAAGAAAACATAAGAGAGAACGTTCCATGGTATCTAACGTCCATGTATTCCTTTTTTTTTTTTTTTGGTTCAAAGGTTTGCTCAAGGGGATATATTAAAAGATAAAAAAGTAAATATAGTGAAAAATACCATCTTAAAACAGCTAGAGTGAAATAAGTTTTACTCTTACAATTTGACTTGGTAACAATTTGAGCTCACAAAAGGAGTAACTAAGTATTAGACTTAGTGTTAGCATATGTACAAATCAACTAGGATCAAAAGTGAAGGATCCCTTCTTCACACGAATCCTAAAGTTTGGATACGCCGTTTCATGTATTCGTTCTTCAAAATGTACATGTAGTAATATCCATAAGGATTTCATATTAACTTTTAATTTGTGAACTACAAATGATTTCTATTAGACTAAACATCATCTCCTCACATAAATAACTTTTTCTTAATGTAATGCAACAAGATATTATTAAAGATGGAATATTAGAAAATAAATAGGAAAAAATAAAATAAAAAAATGTAAAGAAAAGAGGAATGGCCAAGTTTCATGTTTACTACAGATGGATGCATATTTATTTGTTTTTTTATTTCTTTGGTTTTTTCTATTATTTCACATATTTTCTTCTTTTTCAAATGTTGAGAAACTTTCAAAATAAATTTATAAACTAAAACTCAAATATGCATATATTAAACTTACTTATTATTTTTTTATAACCGCACGAAACACGGACAAATTCACTATTACAATATAATACAATACCATATAGTATTATATTGTATATTCATACAATACAATCTAATAGTATCAACTTCGAAACTACTATACCGAATAGCAGAGTCACCCACAAACAAAAAAAGAAATCGTTGTTAGGGACGAATCTACTCCTTTTCCAACCGGAAAGAAGAAAAAGTTTCAAAAAGAGTTCGGTTTTGCTAATAACCAATATAGAAGCCGCTCGTTTCTCACTCATAGAAAAATCGAATTTAGAATTTGGGACTGAGAAGAAGAAGAAGGAGCCATGGGAGAAAGGAAAGTATTGAACAAGTATTATCCGCCGGATTTCGATCCGGCGAAGATTCCACGGCGGAGGCAGCTTCCGAATCAGCAGATGAAAGTGCGCATGATGCTTCCTATGAGCATTCGTTGTGCTACTTGCGGCAATTACATCTATAAGGGCACCAAATTCAATTCCCGCAAAGAGGACGTCGTTGGCGAGGTATTTACAATTCTTACCCCTTTGCTGTTATTGCTAACCCTTGCAATTAGGGAATCTAGGATTTGTGTTATATGTATTGCCCAGTTGAGAATTTTGTGATATTGGTGGTGAGCGAGTCTCCCCTTTTTCCTTCCTGAGGCGAGGGTTTACCGCAAACAGCTATTCTGCCCTTTTGGGGTAAGGTTTGCTTACACTCTACCCTCTCCAGTCCCCACTTCTAGAACTACACTGGGTTTGTTGGTGTTGTTGGTGTTGTTGTTGTTGGTGAGCGAGTCTGGTGAACTTTAATTTTTTGTTCTTGTGTTATTTTGGAGATGCTTTTGTTTCATTAAGTTGATTTTTGAAGTGTCATGAGTATCTGATAAACCTATGTATGTAGTGGCAATTGGAATTCTTGCTAGGTTTTAGAATGGCCGACTGTTGGTTAAAAATTGGACAATACTTATATTGCGAATCTCAATTGGATAGTACATATATTGGGTGACTGTTGGTGAAAGATTCGGACTTGGCTTTGAAATGGATAGCTGAATAGCCTGAATTAAATCAAATATGTATAGAGGTTTGGCAAATTGCTGTTAATTAGTACTAGTTTTGTCTGTATAGTTAAACACCAAGGAATTGCTTCTTCGTGCTGCTAATGTTCTTAAATTTGTATTTCGTCAGATAGATAGAAAGCTTAGACATGATGACATCTATGTTTTGGCCAGGAAATCCGCTGACTTGCCATCCTAGATCGCAAGCTATACGTTTCCTACCACACACTTTGATATCTTGGATGAACTTACGACTTAAAACCATAATATTATCCCCTTAGGATACCTTAGTGTTCATACTCGGTGTCACTCTAATTAATACATCATCGGTGAAGGAAATTGACCTACCCTGCACTGTGTTGTTGTCTTCCAGTAGCTTGGTAGCCATTTATATAGCTCTTTCCCTGCCCTTATCCATCATTTGGCTGAGGACCTCCATAGAGAAAATGTATAGGATAGGAGCAGATGATTTGCTGATTTAAATCCGCATTGTAATCTGAATATATTTGGATGCAACACTATAATCAGGAACCAGAACATGAAAATGAAAATAAACAACCAGATCCCACCTTAAACCCATTTTCCCCAGCTGAATATTAAGAAAGGAGAAAAGTGCTTGGCACATGCTTTTTGCAAGGCAAGATTGCACAGAAATTTAGAATTTCTTCCTTCGCTCTTGAAAGTGGCTATTTTATCCCTTTATTTTCATAAAAATCATAGAAATTGATAGTGGCTCAATAACAATTAGAGAAGCATCTAAAATTTGTTTACAAAAAAGCAACAGTAGAAATAAAGCATCTAGTGTCTGTCTTCTTGCAATGAAAACATGTTGTGTATAAGTCTATAAGAGGCATCTTGTTAAGAAATTTATTTTTTAGTTTAAGAGAGAGTAGCTTGACATTAAACATACTAACTAGCCAGTCTGAAGTCCTTACTCAGTATGCCCCTTTGTTTTTAGAAATTTGAGCAGTAAGTTAGGCTGTGATAATTCTTTTTTTTGGAATGGTCAGGCAGTGATAATTCTTTCAAAAGTTACACTGTAGTAGAAATCACTCAATCAGTCTAATATATTCATATGTTTCTGTGTATATATCTCTATATCTATGTATGTATATGTTGTTGATGTGAATTATAATCACGTGTCAAATTATGCAGACCTACTTAGGAATACAAATCTTCAGATTCTACTTCAAGTGCACAAAGTGTTCCGCAGAGATTACATATAAGACAGATCCAAAAAATTCCGATTATACTGTTGAATCAGGTGCAACTAGGAATTTTGAGCCTTGGCGTGGCCAAGATGAGGTAAGAATTTTATCAACTTAAAGTCCTATTCACCACCTTCTTCCCCAGTGGAAGGAGTGCGAACCCTATGTTATATAAATTTCCAATTTTTAGGGTAGTAGGTTCCAGTATCTTGTGAATTCATGTTTATGTTTTTTTTTGTTTAGGAAATGGAGAAGGAGAAACAGAAAAGAGATGCTGAAGAAATGGGTGATGCAATGAAGTCATTAGAAAATAGAACCTTGGATTCGAAGAGAGAAATGGATATTATGGCTGCATTAGATGAGATGAAATCCATGAAGGTGAGTCTTGAAGTTATTTCTTCACTTTTTTCGTGACTAAATTATTTTGTGATCAAGATTTACACTTATGTATGTTTTTTTCGCACTATATTGCTGTGTTTTAATATATATTTTTCTGCTAGTTTCTTACCTTGTTCTTCCATTTTTCCAGTCGAGACATGCAACTGTGAGCGTAGATGCAATGCTTGAAGCTTTGCAGCGGGCAGATGAGGCAAAGGTATGATTGTGTTTTATATTGTTTTCCCGCTTGAATAGGAGTGAAAATGTGGTCCTTGATGACTAGTGTTCAGCATTATCACAATACTGGTTGATTGATAAATTTAGAGAACTTAAGTTCATTCCTACATAAAGTTGCTAATGTTATGAACTTCTTTTGGCACATACTGTGGCTTTTGCTTGAGATCAGTTGTGACCAAAGCTTTCAAAAGCTATAGTAGTTTATCAGATCAAATTAACATGCTCCACTATTGGGATTCTGGACCTTTATTTTTTGGGATTCTATATTCTCAATTGACGATATAGCTCCTATAATTAAGAATCAAATCACAGGCTAAATTCTTCTATTTACTTCTTGAACACCATCTCGTATTAGATGTTGAGTGATTGCCTACCTCAACCTCAAGACACCTGTTCAAACTCTGGGAGAGAGGGGATTACCAAAAATAAAAGAAATGGGTGAAACCACACATTTCAAACTCTATGAGATCATTGGAGATGTTTAACCGATAGTGAAGAATCACAGAGGTTTTTAGCACTGAAAATATCTGTAGAAGGTTGAGTCCAGTAAGTAGTATGAAGAGTCGAAGGAGTTTAAAAGAAAGTATTCACTTAAATGATTGGTTATCCAGGATGATGAAAACAATTATGTGATTAAGATCTACTAACTAATAGGGGAGCCCTAGTAGTGCCACTCTTCACCGGATCGTGATGGTTTATGAAGATCTGTTGAAGAACATTTTTATAATTATTTGATGAGTAGGTGAAACATTTGATGGACTGCCTTGTTTACCATATTAATGCTTGTCCTGACAGGCGAGGAAGCTGGAGGAAAAAGATGAAGCTCTCATAAGATCAGTTTTCCAGGTTGGTATATGATAGTCTGAATACCTGTTATTTGTTCATAGGTATTTCTAAGAGCTTTAATTTCTTAAGAAGTTTTGTTGGTCTTGTGTCAAATCAGGGTTCAAGAGAGATAATCAAAAGAATCCCTGATGAAGAGCTTGAGGAGGACGATGATGATTTACCTTTTTTTGCCCCAGAAAGTTCAGGGTCAGAAAACAACTCTCTTAAGGTACAAGTGCCGGTTTTCCATCTTTTATGTTGCATCAACCTGCTTCTATACAAAATAGACTTTAATAAATGTCGTGTATGATTTATGCTTTGTTCATGGGTTTGAATACCAAGAAAGTACCATACATTAGATCTATAGTTTTATCTATTGATTGTCCTGATGACATGTACAAATTTTCCGCCTGCGTTCATATCATTTTTAAACAATTTCCTACTTTGTTCAGTAGATTAGACATGAACAATTTGCTATGTCCTCTTGAGTTAGTCGTAACTTTGAAGTTGGTGTCTTATTTTCTCTTTGTAGCATCTTGTAGATACAAATAGCATACAAACAATAATCACGTGGTCCACAATCAGAAAAAAATCAGGTGGTCCATGTAGACTTAGCTAAAGATAGGGCACAATGGAGACCTACAATCCTTGGAAGTTGTCTCAAAAGATCTATAAATCCTTGGAATCAGTGTAGACTTAGCTAATGATAAAATAGAAAAGAAGAAAAAGATCCATATAGGTGATATTTACTAGTTAGGAATAGGCTTTAAATTTGTTAGAGAACTATTAATGTAAGTACTATGTTTTATTTATTATTTATTTATTATTATTATTATTACTACTCCCTCCGTTTCAAAAAGAATGAACATATTTCCTTTGTTGTCAGTTCCAAAAGAAAGGGGTTAGAGTGACCCCTTTCTAAATTTGGGAAGAATGTAACTTTAAACTTCCCATTTCACCCTTAATCAGATGATTTATTGCCACACAAATATTTATAGATTGTTTTGGACTACAAGTCTCAAAAGTCCCTTTCCCCCCTTAAACTCCGTCCCGGTCAGATAGGTTCAAACGAATTGATGGAGTGAGTATTATATATATATATATATATATATATATATATATATATAATTGTATCTAAGGTGAATCTCTATATTTTAGAGAGATTCTAGGGTTTGTTACTTGGTGGCTAAGTCACTTTTTCCCTATAAATATAGGGGTTCTATTCCATTGTAATTCATCCCAAATCAATAAGAATTCTCTCTCCCTACTTTTCTTTACAATATTCTTCTTCTTCTTTTATTGTTTTATAACACGTTATCAACACGAGACTCTAACCAACTGAGTAGAGGGCGGTTGTTTTAATTTGTAGATATACTATTAATTAGTTGTCTAGCGTTTGAGAAATTAAACCCCCGTGAAGAGAAGATATAGGAATTTGCGTGAGAGTCTTGGGTGAATACATTGATATTCCTATTCTAGGAATCTGCTTCGGTCACCAGGCTTTGGGATACGTGCATGGTGCTCAACCTGTATATAATATTGAGCATAATGATTGTCAATTGTTCCATGAACTTCCTTCAGGAATAAATTCTGGATTTAAGATAAGTATTTTGCCTTATTTTTCTCTTTTAAATTCGTGAAATTCTATAATATGATTTTAAATACAAGCAAAGACAAGAAATTTTGCTTATAACTCTAGTAGAGTTTGTAAGAAATTATAATCATCCGAAGTGGTAAAAATTCTATGTCTTACCACGATCAAATTCATGTATGATTGTGGGCACAAGAAGTGAAAACCCGTCCCATTGCAGCTGCTTAGCTTTATCCAACATCCTACTGAGTCCTTCCATTGCTAATATGAATTAGAATGGTGAGAGTGGGTCTCCCTGTCTCAATCCCCTATGTGGAGAGAAAAAACCGATTGGGCTCCTGTTGATTAGAATGGAGTACTTCACAGTGGAGATATTGAACTTGATCCATTTTAACCATCTTTCCCCAAATCCCATTTGCCTGAGAATGGTAATGAGGTAGGTCCAATTCAGTTGATCAAAGGCTTTTTCTATGTCCAGCTTACATAGGATCCCTGCATCCCCTTATTTTAACTGCCAATCAAGGACCTCGTTTGCTATTAGTGAAGCGTCTGTAATCTGCCTTCCTTGTATGAATGCATTATGTTGATTTGAGACCAATTTTCCCACTACTTTCTTCAACCTTTCAGCTAGGACTTTAGCTATGATCTTGTACACACTGCCAATTAGACTAATTGGTCTGTAGTTCCTTAGCTCAATTGCCCCTTTCTTTTTAGGAATAAGCGCAATGAAGGATGCATTACATGAACTAACCATCCAACAGTGCTGGTGATAGTAACTCATGGCTGCAAGTATGTCATGTTTAATGAACTCCCATGAGTGCTGGTAGAAAGCCATTGTGTACCCGTCGGGTCCTGGTGCTTGTCGGGAGCACTAGAGTTGATTGCTGTAAAAACCTCCTCTTCATTGAAAGATGCCTCCAACCCTCTTTTTCTTCTTCTGTAATGGTTGCAATTTCTTCAAAATTAGCAGATGGCCTCCAACATTCCCGCTCAGTGTACAAGTTTTCATAAAAATCCAGTGTCTCCTGCTTTATCTGCTCCCTATCTTCTATGATCTCATCCCCGATCATGAGTTTGTCGATGCAATTGCTTCTTTTATGAGAGTTGGCAATCTTCTGGAAGTATTTGGTGTTTCTGTCTTCTTCCTTAAGCCAAAGACACCTTGATTTTTGCCTCCATGAAATTTCTTCTGCTTTGGCTAATTGCTGCAATTCTATTCTTATACTGACCATTTGATTCGCCTCAGATAAAGTCAACTGTCTGTCTTCTGCAGCCTGTTCTAGTGCCATTAGCTCCTCTAGTGCCCTGTTTTTCCTGGTTTCCACCTTTCCAAACCCTTCCCTGTTCCAAGTAGTGATATCCTTCTTTAGGCTTTTTAGCTTTTGCATAAGGATAAAATCAGCTCTACCAGTGAATGTGTAATTCTGCCACCAACTCTTTAGTTTGCCTAGAAATCCTTCTGATTGAAGCCACATATTTTCGAACTTAAAGAAGGAAGGGGTTGCATCCCAGTCACCACTCTCCAAAATAATTGGTCTATGATCTGAAATCACCTTAGGCAAAGCAATCTGTCTCACAACATTAAAAGAGTCATTCCACTCATTGGAGATAAGGAATCTGTCAATTCTCAAGGCTTGCAAACAATTATCTCCTTTAGACCAAGTATATTGAGCCCCATGTAAGGGTAAATCAATAACATCTAGGTCCTAAATAATTTCAGAGAACAACTTCATTGCCTTTGATCTGCTGGTACAGTTCAGCCTTTCACTCTCAAACCTAACAACATTGAAGTCACCTCCCACTACCCAGTGATCTTACCAAAGTCCCCTTATTCCTGCAATCTCACTCCATATTACTTCAATCTCACTCCACATTACTTCTCTCTCTGGATTGTTGTGTGGTCCATATATTTCTGTGAAGCACCATCTGAATACTTCTGTGGTGCTTTCTAATATACAAGAGATGGAATAAGACCCCCAGTGTGCATCTAATTTGACCCACTTTCTTTTGTCCCAAATCACCACAGTCCCTCCCCTGGTACCACTAGCTTTTAACTCCACCCAATCAGCCTATCTATTCCCCCATAATTGTTGAATCATTCTAGTAGAGCAATCTTCTACCTTAGTCTCCTGCAAACACAAAATATCCACCCTCCACTTCTGAATGAGAGATTTAATGGTGCTTCTTTTCAAATCCTCATTCAACCCCCGCACATTCCAACTCAAGATTTTTAGCTTCATCCAGAACATGAATGGTGTTGCCTACCCCTCAACCCCTTAACCTGCCGCCCTCTTATGTCATAATTAATCCCACATGCTAATCTTTTCCTTTTCCCCTCCTTTATTCCTCTTCTCCTTCCCTGCCTTTTATTTTGATTCCTGTTGTTGGATTTGGACTTGTCTTTGCTGCTCCATCCTTAGAATTATGTTCAAAAGATCATGCTCGAACCCTGTCGCATTGACCCCAAAGGCCTTGCACGCCTTGACCATAGTGAGTTTGGTCCATTTTGAAGTCTCGATTAGGGATGGAGTATCAATAAGCTGTGCGCTGGAACCTCCCTCATACCATGTCAGTGGGAGGGCTTCACATACTGCCCGAGAAGAAAAGTCTGTGTCTAAGCTAGTTGCTGGGACCATATCTAGTGTCGGCGAATGTATGCAAAGTGGCCTGTGGACTCTCTTCTGGGATCCCTTCATCATCTGCGTCTGAAGGGGAGTTATCTGGACTCTGGTTTACCAAAGTCATGGGGCAAGATTGTGTCGTGTTCTGTTCCTTCGAAGATGAGGGTTCAGTTGCTAGTTCTTTTAATTTTGAAGCATTTGGGTCGGGTTTAAGTCCTGTTACCCTCCACACTGTTTTCTCATTAAAAAGCTTCAACTCCTTTGACTTCCTTGATGTGGTCTTCTTATTAATTGGGCCTTTTTTGTAATATTCTTGATCTGCTCCTCGGCCCGAGTTTTGTTAATGATTTGAAAGCCCTTTACCCTTTTTATCAGAGACCAATATAGCTGGTGGCCCTTTATCTACTGGTTTTCCAGATGAACCAGCATTCAAATTGAAGCTGTCAACCTTTCCTTCTACATGTGAGACTGTTCCTGATGCAAGGTTCCTGCCAACCTGTCCTTCTACATGTGAGACTGTGTCCGATGCAGGGTTCGAGGTGCCCACTTCTGCCATCTTCTCCCTTGCTTCATCGGAAAAGGATTTTCCGGCAGGTCTGATTTTTGTATGAGCATCTTCTAGTAACGAGATTTCAAAGCCCCCGTCCTTCGTAATCAGCTCCAGATTTTTTGGTAATTCTTCTCTTCGATTAACCACACAGATACGTGCCCAAAAAAAGTGAACTCTATGTTTAGTGTCATCGTCAATATCGACGAAGCCATCACACTTGTCTCTGATGAACTTGAAAGTGTCCGCCGTCCATGCGTGGATAGGAATTCCCAAAGCTTTCACCCATCGATGCTCCGATTTTGCAGATTTCATATCTGCTCCGGCCACCGGAGACCACCATTTCAAGGTCAATCTTCTTCCATTCCAGAACCAGTCACCAGTTTTGACTCTGTTTACTTCGAATCTGGAAGGGAACTCAAAAAGGAACTGGTTGTGCTCGATGGGAGTGACCTTGAGACCCGCTGTGATTTGCCATCTGCTTGTGAACCATTTCTGAATTACTTCTACCTTTGGGCTCAAGCTAAATGGGTCATTGAACTGACCTATGAGGCATTTCAATCGGAAGTTTTCATTTCCCAGCTCTTCGTGGAGTGCTCCATGCCCAACATTGGCATTAGTTGTAGTTGGCCAATGTGATATATTAGCAGCTTCCTTATAAGACTTTGATTGATCAGCATAGAGATAAAATCTTGGGTCTACATATGTTCCCAGATAACCTTGTATCATCCCTGCTTTGTCCCCCCATCCTTTATTGTAATTGCCTTCCGGTATAATGATTGCAGATCTGTTAGCCCCTATGATAGCTTCAATTCTAATTAACCGACCATAACTGTTGAAATTTTGGACCACCCGGAAAGTGTATGTTTGCACCTTCCTACCCCATCTTTTGCAGCTGTTGGCAGTCTGGAGAGAATCTTCGATCAAAGCTTTGCACACCCATCGGAGGTTGTTGTCATCTATTTTAATCTTGCTTGAGAATCTTCTGCTACATTCTGTAAAAATATACCATCCCTTAGCTTCCTCTTTGATACTTCTTAATTCAAAAGTTTTGCCACTAGAATTGAAACTGAGCATTCGATCCATTGGAGGCATTATTGGCCATTAATCGCTTTTCATAACCTTTTGCCCATAATTCTTATTTATTTCATAATCTCTAGTTATAATCCATCATAAAGTTAGTAACTTTAATTTTTCGATGAAGTAACATCAAGTAGATGCAAAAAAAAATTACAATAGAGTAAAAAGGTGGCTGCTCAGATACAAAAACTAATCTATAACTAAGGAGCAGAGACCTTCCAAAAGTTGTTCACAGCTAGATACAGGGGCTTTGTTAAGCCAGCTAAATAAATCCACTAAACATTTAGCTTTAAGAGCATGAATTGAAGTTGAGATCCCATCAAAACACCTACGGTTCCGTTCATTCCAAATACACCAAAAAATTGAGGCAGGCATAACCAAGTCTTTTTGATGGGTTTACCAACTTTCCAAGAGCACCAACTTTCATATGCATCTTTGATGGGGCAAGGCATGATCCAGGCTATCCCAAAAATAGATAGGAACATGCTCCAAATATCTGCTGCTACTGGACAATGCAAAAAAGATGTCTTACACTTTCGAAGTTCATTCTGCACATGAAACATCTATTTAAAGTCGGAGATCCTGAGTAAGACGGGCTTCATACAAAGCCAGTCAGCAAAAACAAAATCACTTTGGGAGGTAATTTGGTCTTCCAGATTAGCTTCCATGGCCAATTATCGATCAGTTCTTTGTTGGAGCATGAGTGAGCATATCCGTTCTTGACTGTAAAAGCTCCTTCAGACTATCCCTGACATGTGGATTGACAGTAACCCCTGCTAATTTAGCATATAGCTCCATTAGTTCAGTCAGCTCCCAGTCTTGAAAGTTTCTTATGAAAAGAGGATCCCAAATGTTGTGATTCCAGTTCTGTCCTACATAGGATCCCTGATTGCTTGCCATTTTATATAGGTTGCAAAATTCATCCTTTAGTGCCACGGGTCCCAACCACTTGTCCTTCCAGAACTTTAGCATTAAAGTTAGTAACTTTATTACTAGGAAGTAACAAAAATTACCTTCGAACAGTGCCTCCACAAACCCTAAGTTTTGGGTCTTGAAGATCCTTGATTCTTGGGTGGAAACCTAGATTTTAGGAATTAGAAGGTGTTAAGTGATGTTAGTTTCTTTTTAATAATGTGAATTCATGGTAAAGATCTAACCTTGGGGGCGTAGTGTGGAACCCTAGTTTGATTTCTCCTCAAAAGCTCTTAAAAAGTGATAGAGAAAGAATAATTTTTCTTTCTTCCCGTCGCCCCTTTTTATACTTGGAGCAGGGCTTATGCGTGCCAACACGTAGCTATGCGTGCCAACGCGTAGCGAGACCCCATCCCTTTCTCCCCTTTAGCTTGTTCTCTTGAAATGGCCACACTTACTATGAGTGGCCACGCCTTGGCAGTTATGCCACTCTTTGGTAAAAGGGTCATAACTTTTTGTAGGAATGTCAGAATGATGAACGGTTTGAAGTTCTGGAAACTAAACTCAGAGACCTTTCCTTTTATATATGGCTCATATCTCAATTCATTATAAACTAGGAGATATGACAGTTTGAAGTCGGGACATTTGCGACTATGTTTGCTTTCTTCTCTGAAATATTTCTAATTTGTTTCATACCTCCTCGCCCCTCTCCTAAACATCCGTGCTACCTTCCAAACATAAAATGTAGGAATCATATACCTTCAAAACTTTTGAAACACCCGTATGTCCCACTTAGAGCCTGAACATGGACGTAATGCTTAGCGAAAAATCGGGGGCAACGCTAGAGATAGTTGTTATGCTCTAAGGTGAAGCACCTTGTAGATCTGTTTTTGTCACTTGAGCAATCTTATATATTGTTTATAAAACTGGTAGTGTTCCTAGTTTGTCGTCCATCAATGGTTGAGTAAATAGACTTGGGATTATGTGCGGGGACTCACTTTTAGGCTTCTTTGCTACAAACTGTGTTTTGGGTACACTTATGATATCAGAACCTTTTCTACACTAGAATGGTAAGCTTAGTCCCCTTTGCTCGGCAACTTGAGTGCACAGGAAAGTACCATAATGCTGTTGAATTAGCTCAAATTACCCCCAAATGACAATCTTGGAAGTAGAGTTTTCTTTCAACGCCTTGGCTGTAGCACGAAGCTTGTCGTGGAATCTTTTACATTATGATATTTGAATAGCATAAGATTGATATTATCATTAAATGATCTGTATATTATTTTTTCATTTATTTAAATAGAACATAAAATGTGCGAAGGAACTATAAAATTCTGTTAATTATCTTCCTTTACTACAGAGGCCCAAGAAGTGGCAGCGTCTACCAAATGATCAATCTCTTCTGCATTAGACCTGTCGTATGTTTTACATGCAACTAAATAGAAGTAGAAAATTACCATCTCAAAAAAAATAGAAGCAGAAAATTACAATGTCCATCCGCAAAATTAGAGGACAGTTTTGTTGAGACTTGAGAGCATTTACTGTTATGTTGAAATCTGAAATTTCATCATGCCTGAAGTCTCGATCTTCTTTTTGTTGTTTCTTATTAACATTAAGCTTGTTATTATTTAAATGCAGAGGAGAAAGGTTTCTGAGGAACCTAATGAAAAACCCACAAATTTTTTGACAAAAGCCAGCGTTACTGACGGCTCTATCAACAAAGGTTGGTTTAGTCGACCCATCTGATTCTTGTTCTGAGTGTATCATTGCTTTCTACTCTTCCTATAACCTTTTATGTCTCTATATATTTTTTGGATCAGAATACCCTTCATTTATGACAATCACGTGAGTGAATTTCCATTTGAAGAATAGTCTTTGAAGTGATTTCCATCCGTTGCGCTTGCGTGTAATATTTGCTTCTTGAAATCGGAGGCTGGTGATGATAGTGAATGCATAGTTGCCCACGAAGCAATCTGTTGTCTTTCTCTTTTTTTTTTTTTTTTTTTTTTTTTTTTTTTTTTTTTTTTTTTTTTTGCATGGCTCGTTCTCTCTTTTATTTCCTTGGGGAGGGTTGAGGAAAGATTGGGGGTGGGGATGGAGGGCTGTGAGTTAGAGGTTTCAGCCTTGAAATTTCATGGATGAGATGCCATTAACTCTTCAATAATCATAGATTTTGCTGGTTTTACTTTGAAAATAAACTAATAATGGTCCTAGATACTTTTTTTTTGGTCATTTGGTGATTAATACTGAGAAAAATAGCCTTTTAGGGATCTGACCCTGTTTTCATGACTTATGTTGCAGATAAAGCATCATCGAGTGATGGTAAAATCATTTTCAAGTCCTCATCAGTCAAAATATCTGTAGTTAAGAAGCCGCCCTCAGATTCCAACAGCAAGAAGACAGTAGAAGGAAACCAGCAAGAGGCAGAAAAGACTGGTGGGACAAGCAATGGTCTACTATGGCTATGTCAACAATATGAAAGTGATGAAGATGACTGATTCAATGATTCCTATAAGCTGTCAATGTCCATATATCCGCCAAAACTATTAATTGTGGGGTGCTATTTTCATCGGGAACACTCTTTCTCTGTGCACTTGAAGCTTAAGCTTTGGCCCTCGCAAATCGCCAGTTTGTAGGTATAATATAATGACTATCCTCTTCGGTTCACGCACCAAATCTCAAGTTGCTTTCTTCTGAATTATTCTTGTGACAATCTGAGTCTTTTTTTCTGCTCGACAATTTCTTTTTTTCTGAAGGATTTTTTAACTTATAGGTGATATTTTTGCGAAACAGATTTGCTGAGTTTATAGTTATTACAGGAATGGAATCTCCTCTTCTTCCCCCTCATCCAACCACCCACCGTGATACGATTTAAATTGGAAGAGTCAATTTTCATTCTTTGCATTTTGATCCCTTTAGCTTCTCTAATTACACAGTTTCTCCATTACTATTTTAATAGTTTAAGTTAGACCCATTTTGTTAGGGCTTCTTTGTATTCTGCTTTTGTATTCATTTAAATGTATGTATGAAAATTTTATCTATTTTTGCCCTAGTTTCCTTTCTTTTCTTAGCTTAGTTTAGCTGTAGCTAGCTTTTCTTCCTTCGAATTTCAGCTTTCGTAACAGTGGTATCAGAGCATTGATTCTTTGACCTCTGCTGTAATGGAGATTGATAGATTTCGCTCACCATATTGGCTGTTATAATGACCCACGTGCTAGGCATCCATGGAGGAACAATATATCAAATATTCCAGCTACCGCTTCAGGTTCTAGACCTACAAATTTTTAGCAGGATTTCAGTTATTCACCCTATCAAGATCCTAATTCTTCCGGTTATTGTAATACCAGACATGGAGCTTACTATATTGGTTATCAGCAGTTCAAGCCAACAAATCCTCTATACACCTCTAATTTCAGTCAACATCAACCTTGGCAAGCTGGGTGTTTCCGGTCTGTCCCTTATGCCTACCAGCCGTCAGAGTTTGCTACTGTTGTTCCCAATTTTTTGACCGCTGGGGTGGTTCCAGAAGGAGGCATGGCTATGGGATCCCTATCCGGAAACATGGGTGTCCTTCCTAGCACAAGAATGGTTGGAATCAACTACAATTTTGAACATTTCCACTCGACTTTGCCGATTCAACATCAACCTGCTTTTAACACTTTCAATGTTGGGTCTCTTCGTACCGATTGCTCCATTGATCAGAAAATTTCAACTGATGAAAGATTAAGCAGTGCTTTCATTGTTAGTAATTTCACTAATGATGTGATTCCAGAAGCTCCATAGAAGGAGAGATTGGAAGAACTTAAGCCGCAACCAGAAGTTATGGATACTCCACCGTCCTACTGTGAATTTGATTTACAGGGGTTTGCAACAGATTCTCTCCTCTCTCATGAGGTTTGTGCTCCCGAAACTCTGTTTCTCGGTGTCACTATTGCAAACAACGAAGATATTATCCATAAGGAATTGGAGTCGGTAGTTGGTGTATATCGAACAGTGGAAGGGAAGTCCCAAGTGTGGAAAGTTGTAGAAGAAGTAGAGGAATCTGTTGCTAACAACAATCTTGTTGTGAAGTACGAGCACATGGTGTTTGATGAAATGCCAATAAGAGAGGTAGTTAGCCCTTGTGATAAACTTGTTTCCTTCTCTGAAAATCTAGTAGAAACTGGACTGCTGGAGACGACGAGAATGGCAGATGCCAAACCAAATTCAAAGGTTGTTGGTATACCAGATGTCTCGTCGGTGGAAAAAGAGTTTGGAAGAAGTTGGAATCTCTAGTATGGGAGGAGTGTACTGCTCCAGAGACACGGTTGGAGCTAGTGGTGAATCCACACTTTGATTCGCGGTATGAGAGTGTTGACAGTGCTTATAGCTTCAGTGTTAATGTCAAGAATTCTGACCCTTGATCGATGATGATTGGATCGCCACATGCTTAAAACTCTCATGCAACCAATATTGCTAGAATCTAAACTATTCAGATTTAGACCTTCATTAAATGAAAACAAATAAGGCCTTACTATGTATCAGCGTAAGATTTTGAATCTTAGATAACTTGAAGTTAGGCGTTTCTACTTTAGTGACATTTGAGATCCGTTTCAAGTCATTATCAAGTGAGATCACAATTTAGACAAGAGTGGGTTGAGCACCCTCCACTTCCAACCAAGAGGTTGTGAGTTCGAGTCACCCCAAGAGCAAGGTGAGGAGTTCTTGGAGGGAGGGAGCCCGGGGTCTATCAAAAACAGTCTCTCTACCCTAAGGTAGGGGTAAGGTTTGCGTACACACTATCCTCCACAGACCCCACTAGTGAGATTATACTGGGTTGTTGTTGTTGTTGCTAGTGGTATATTGTGGGTTTAGATGAGGAGTCTTATTATATTATATTAGTTTCAGGGTACGAGCTCTGTTTCAATGAGTATTAATATTTTGCAAAACTCACATAAATATTATATAAAAATGTATTTGAGTTATAAATAAAAGTGTAAATTCCTGAAAATGATGAGTATTGATCTTAAAGCTAACTCAATAAAATAAAAAACTGAAAAATAGAGGTTATTATATTCTAACTTAAATTTTTTTAGTTTTATAATTAATGTATCATTTTAAGTTCATAAGTTATTGTGATTCCTCTGCAGTTAACAAATTCAAGTACTCATCACTGAACGTACAAGGGGGGGGGGGGGAGTTGAAT